CGAGGAGGTGCACGCCTGCAGGAATGCAAATCGCAAATGCACCGGGCGTACGATACCACCGATGGCCATTCAATTCTCCCTTCCCCTCCATCTTGCTCTGTTACAAGTCCCCGACGGAGTAATTTAGGTGGTGCAGTGGCTGGAGTCGTTTCTAATATTAAAAACGAGGAGGCAACGATGATATCGAATCATTTCGACGTTTCCAGTAGTGATAGATACAATTCTGTGGATTCTGTTGGAAAACAGTCGATTTTTCTATTTTATTCTTTTTAAATTGTTATCGAAGCACCATTGAAATTTGGAAAGAATAAAATGGGAAGGTATGTGTAACGAGTACAACGAAAGAATAATTCTGTAAATAGGAAATCCTCTCTGGCAATAAGAGATGTGTAAGTTCCCTGTCTAAGAGACGCGTGGTGACCTCCACTACTTTCTAGAACTGCCAACCTTGAACTTACAAGAGATACTAAAGCCACACCGTTTGAGATCAATCTACCAATATCTACGAGTCTCTCAGTCCCAAGCTGGCACTGTATTGTCACACATATATAATCTCATATTTTCTATAATGTTGCAAACTTGTGAAAAGCTACATATTCCATCAAATTACAATCATTGCATTCGAATAAAAATAATCCTGCTCGTTGGTAACATCGACCAATAAACTATAGACAGTGGTATTTCAGTTTTTAATGTCCATATTCTATTTATTATTCGTCCAATGCCATAGGATGTAATCCACAGACACACTGATGCCATAAAACGGTAAATGTATGCTGTCAGGAATATATAATACGCATAGCAAAGAGTTCAACGCCATAACGATCTGCCTCAAGTAGCTCGAAATATTCTTGTACCTTTGAAATTTATTCTGCATTGTCGTAAAATGGTTCCTACTGATCTATAATGGAAGAAGAAGTTTATGGTTCAAGGTGCTATTCAAAAAGAACATAAATAAATTCGAACATAAAAGTTCGTAAGGTACATAGAAATTATTAAAAATACATATTATGTAAAATAGGATATAATACAAGAAAATAAATAGAAATACATGTAAAATGTATAAATATTCATGATGTACATAAAAATATATGAAAATACGTAAAATAGATCACGAAATGGATAGACCAAAAAGCACCACCACCCGCAAGAAGATGAACCTTCCCTCAAGCACCATCGAGGGCAACAAACTTTTACACGTCACGGCTAATCCATTCGACACACTTTCGTCCAAGCGTGCGCGAGTTAACGCCTGTTTCCACAGACGCACGGAAGCGTTTAAGCCCCCAGACTTTCGGCCGTGCAAACAAATCCCGCGGAGAGGCTTCTTCGGAGTGTTTGATCGGTGAGTCAATAAATCGGAAGCGAGCTTGAAATCTCGTCATAGCCGATTCTGGTTATACGCGGTGTGACTTCGCGATTCGGTAGAAATCTTATTTATTTTATGACCGATTCGCAAAGGACAAACAAACAGCGTCCTGGGGCTGAGCCGCCTTACTTGGACGCCATTTGTTAACACTTATGGCGTCGACCATGTCGCTTGAGAAACATTGCCTCACAAATTAATTAATTCGCGAGGAATTAAACGTTCTTAACCCAGATTTTTTCTAAATGGAATTCGTCGCGTTCGAGCTGAGCGATTATGGGCCTCGCTGAATTTAATCATGGACGTCGAGGCATTTCAACAAAAGACTGGTTCTAATTTTTTTTTTTAAGGAGATTTCTTGAAACGGTCCATCCGACGTATTTTTATGGAGCTGCTTCGATTCTTTATGGATCGATTGAATTATTCGCGGAATTGTTTCAATTATTTATGGAATTCTTTCTACCTCAGGCTCGTATGTGGATTCCAAGATATTTTGAGTACACATACTTTGGTCGTGCTTTATAGAAACTTTTGTTGAAGAATATTTTATAGGATATTTGTTGTGCAAAAAAAAATTTAAAGCAGTTAAATTTCTCTCTAATTTCGCAGCCCCAGTAAATTCACTGTTTACGAACGGATCGCGTAAATATTGCCAGTCTACTGGCGGATGAAATTTCTTCGACCTGAAATCACTATTAAAACTTTATTTTGTCTATACATCGAATCCATTTTTAGTCCAGATGATTTCGCTTAAGTATCCTAAACAAATTCAAACAGCAACACTAGATTCAATGGAAACTCGAGGTAGAAAGGAAACATTTTACTCACAAGCTACAATACTTGCATATGAACAATATAGGACAAATAAAATATAATTTCCATACGTTAGCAGAGTAGAAAAAAAAGAAAATGAAATATGTACAGAATACTATCCCAAGAAAAAAAAATGGCTACCAGCACTGCACGAGCCAAGAATACCAAAGACTCGCCATGTATCTTCGAGTATCGATCATCAACAATCCTGCAAGCAGCGAAAGCACCAGTGAAAATATATTCAATAGCCTTTTCGGTCCCAGTATAAATTCTTGAGGCCCCACATTATCTCCGTTTTCCTCCCCGAATAAACCAGCGAGGAACACGGGCCATATTTACTCGAGCAATATTTTTTCTCCCACGGTAAACACGCTGGTGCATGCGCGCAAAGGCGTCGTGAGCAAAAGGTATGAAACATTGCCGTGACAATCGCGAAAGGAAACGAGGATCGACGATCAGACGGACTTCCACTCGTGCAATAAATTTCACCCCCTCCTTCATTTCGTCGCTCGCGGGTTCCCGTTGGTCCCTTCGCCGCGGACTGAATGAAACGACATTCGAAAGGTGAACTTCTTTTTCCTCGGGTGGTTTATACAGGGTGCTCGTTTACGGCTGTCGTAATCCACTGACGGCAATGACAGTTGAAAGCACAGCCGTTGTCTTCGGTCCTCGCGGTGGCAACTTACATCAGAAGCATACTCCTTCGCTTTCTCGTTGGGATCCCCTTTGTCCTGCCGCCTCTTTTTTATCGGAGAACGGATGACAGAGGCCAAGAAGAGAAGTTGGCATGCACTAGTCTTTCAACTTATTTTATTTTCAACCCCTTTAGTCAGTTTAACAAACACAAATTGTATTTAATGTCAACGCTACTAATAATCACATTATCTCGAATAAAGTTCATCGGTAGTATCCTCAACCAAAGCACGAGAAGATGGCAGGCACTTTAACTTATTTTATTTTCAACCCCTTTACTGAGTATAATCAACTTAAAATTGAATTTGATATTATCATAAAACTATTATAACATTCCAGCCAGCACCATGAAGTTGTCAAATTGCTTAAAATATATTTAGTATCATTACTCACAGAAGAATTTAAACAAACGCAAATGCAGAGCAATTTAAAGCAAGAATTAAACGAATGTAAACAATGAACAAATGCAAGGTTGATACATTAGGTGTCACAGTTATGCTATATAACTTCGTACACTTTTAAATTAATTTTCTACCGATCCTATTACCACACAGTTATTGAAAAATATGATCGAATTCAAGTTCAGCGTTGATCCACATCGAAGTTGTCTGTACCAATCCCGTCCTACCTCGAGGAAGCTTGATTTGCCTATCTTTGATCGCAGCAGCAATCTGCATACGTAAAACTAGGGTGAAAACTTTGAAATTGCAGGCAGAAATATGTTAAGGAGGCGTTGATAATCGATAAGTAACCGTTGCTTACCCTTAGGCTGGTTGTTCGCAGCGTGTCATTACTTGCTGCCCCGTTTGGTTGCTCTCTTCAAACCGAGATTCCTGTAATCAGAGGGAACAATTAATTAGGTCGACTTTTTCTTCGAGTCTCGGCGAAACAGTTATCCTGGCACGTCCCTTTTCTCTTGAACGATTGCTCTCTCGATGGGGCTAATTATATGCTTTTTAATTAGTCCTGTTTCCGAGTAGGCGCCATATTGCCTGCAAGAAGGGAGGTACGGAAAATTGGAATTGAACTGTTACTGATTACATTGATATTTCCCTTTCGATTTCATACTTGTGCCAGCCTTAGAAACATATTAATGTATAGAGTGGTTGTAAAGTTAGTGGTGTGCGTTGAACGGTTCAGGAATGGGGTCGGCGATAGGTAGACAATAAAACAGGTTTCTATAAACATGAGCATTGGAAAGAAATCAAAATCTTGGTGTGTGTTATTGTATAAATCTGATCTTGAAGCTTTCCTGTGTATATGATGAAACGTAAATTTCATTGGGTTACTATTTTGACAATAATATAAAAGGATCTGAACTCTAATTGATTTTGCATTATTCTTCTGTGTGGAACAGAAGGTATATTTTTTTCTTTGACGATGAAGTTGAATACAAGAATTGAGGAATTAAATAAAACGCAAGTTTAAATAAAAGTAATAAAATTAATTTGCTAATAGAAAGTGACAATGGATCTGTTCTTTGGATAATTATGAAGGGTACTGTACACGTTCAAAGAGATCGGTTTCAATTGATTATTTTCACCTGATTTACACGAGTTCGTCTGTTCCGCGGCTTTGCCCTCAGACGGAATTTACGTGGGTGGTATATATTTAGCGGGGGCGTCCCATGTAGCTGGTGTGTTTCACATTCAAATCGAGGAAGTTATGTCAGGGCAGCACTGCATGTATAAATAAATCGTAACGAATGCGGTAACTAATCCGCGAAACGTTTCGCTTTCCACGCCTTTCTATCGCCATTTAATACTGAATTCGCCAACGAATAACCTTTCTATTCAAATTAAATAAATTTGCTCGATCTAATATTAATATTCTAATATTATACCTACTGTTTCAAGTTTATAAATATCCACTCCTCTCAGGATGAATGTTGACGACCTGAAGAAGTGGCTAATGGCCCCATAAAAACGCCAGTTAATCACTTTCACCGTGCACGTTTACAGCGTGCTTTACAAAGCAGTTAGCAAGAAATTACAAAGACAATTGGACGAAATTTCACGGTTCGGTAGCCCGTGGTCGGGAAGTTGGCCCATAGCGTGTCTCGTTGAGGAGATAAAGGTCAATCATGGTCGAGTGACTCACCAAATTTTTGGCATACTTTTTTTTCCAGACGGGCCACGTGAGAACGTCGACAGGAAGCTACATAATTAAGCCAGCGGAGCCTTGGTCAGAAAACGACAACGATTCTCTACAATTCTCGCTGCAGCATGCCATTCAGAGGTTGCGAACATCGACTACCGGCTCCAACCACTTGTACGACGTCGATGATCAGCCTAAAACCCGAAACTGTGGCGTTATTGGTGAGTTCCATTGCATATCAAGGTTACTTTAAATTAATATCAAGAATAGCATACTAAATACGCCCGTTTTTATTCACACAATCGAATGTAGTGTGTCTACAATGCAAGTTGGAGTCTATTAGTTTCCTAACAAACATATTCGAGGGAAAAAAAGTAGTAGAAACCCTGTTGAGAAGGTAGAGTACTCTGCCGGTAAGATTTGGTAATGTAGAACCCTGTTTAAGTGAAGGATTTACCTGTAGAGCGCTTTACGTTACCAGTAGGGCGATCTAGCTTATCGATTACGTGTTCTACATTACAAAGCCACGAGTAAAATAGTCATTTAGGCACAAGATTTGCCAAGAGAGGCAAATCTTACCTTACGAATAAGGTCATCTCGTCTTATCGATTATGCGGTCTAGGTTACCAAACCACGAGTTAAACAATGATTTAAACGAAGGAATTACCAATAGAGTGCTCTACGTTACCAATTGACCACCCCTGTCTTATCGACTACGCGTTCTACATTACCAAGCCACAAGAAAAGCAGCAACTACTCCGAAAGGTACATAGTTTCGAAGAAAATAGACTCGTCGAGTCACGTCAAAGCTTTCATCGTGGCTGTAAACGTCTCCAACCAGCCTCAAGCGTAGTCGAGGACGGGTTTTGGACGAGTGAGGTCCCGCGCCGAAAACGTATTAATAATGCATGTGCTCGGCCCATACACATTAGGACACGGATGCACACGTGCACCAGGGTGCAGCGTGTAGTACTACAAATGCTCGGTTGACTCGATACGTATCGTTTTATTCATGACCATTCCTTCAGCCGCCACCGTGTCGCACGGCGAAAGTTCATTCGGGGCTCTACGTAAGAAAAGCGAATAATACAGCCAGCGACAAAAAGTTAGGGTCGTTCGTTTTAGTTTTCTTGGGTGGGTTAAGAGACGATAGGGGACAGAAATGTTCAATTTTCAAGTGTATTCAGGGATGAATCGATTGGAATTTGATTTTATTTTATATTGCACCGGGGCTCAGGATAGGCTGAGGGCTGAGAGCTGAGGAAGAAAATAGTAGAAAGCTTTAATAAAATTAGGTTTTCTTTATTTTCTACTGGATTGCTTCAAAGATGGTAGAAACCTCTAGCAGAAGTGTTTAATTTTCATGTTTATTCAGTGATAAATTGATTGTGCTCAATTTTATTTCAAACTACACTAGCGACCACGTTTAGGATGGCGAAGAAAATAGTATCAAGAATTTACTGGGGTAGGAAATATAGTGAAATCACAAACATATGGAGTAGGGCTGCGAAGGAATCGGTATATAAAGAATTTAGGGGTGTTATATAGTATCAAGCGTAGAAATTAATTCGTTGTATCGTCGTTTATCCCATTAAAACAATCTGTATTAAGGAAACAATTTGGGCAACAACTACACAAATACAAAGAGAATTCCCTCGTGTCTCCCCTAACAGGAACAAAACCAACTCCCTTTTTGTCGATGACTGTAAATCCCAGATGCTGGGCTCGTGTCCCGAGTTTGGCTCGCGACCGGTTTTCGCAAGCTCGATTAACATTCCGTTATTGAGGTATTGCATTGTCGGCAGTGTCGTATTAATTATTTTGTCAGGCCGCCTATCTTAGGCGCGCTGATCGTTTCCTCGCTAACATTTAATTGCCTTACAGCTGGGACCCCTCTTTCTTGTTTATGGTGATTTCTCTTTCAACGTGCATAGGTGGTCGCGAACTCACCGGTCCACCCTGTACAAATCGAGCCCGATTAATCGAGGCTTGGACGGAGCCGGTAGCTCGCGAGAAGTATTGATATATCAGTTCGTTAATGTTCCACGACATTTTCACGACCAGATAAAAAAGAGACCGATAATGCGCACCAGCGATCCCCCTTTATCCCAATCGCTCCAAATTCTTTTTGTTCGCTCGACTCGTGTAAATGCTTGTTCAGTCGAAATAATCGTTAAGAAGACATCGTCGTCGGCGTGTCTTTATTCTTACCTTGGACCCTCTCGACGTTCAGATCTTCGCTGAGGATCGATAATATCTAATAATAATGATAATTAATTCATGGAGCTAATCGAAAAGAAAAATGTCGTGGACAATTCAACTATTTCTTGAATTACTTTTCTCTGTAAAGAACAATTTTCGTGAAAAATCTAATAAATTTTTATTAAATGAAATTTTTCCTCCCTCCTTCCTGTATGGAGAACAGGAAGAAATATTGCGAGACGTCTAGATAAACGAACCACCTTATAAGTTCATTAATTGATAATGAGTAATTTCAGTTACGAAGAGGGTCCGTAATGAGTTTGAAGCGTCAGGGAGCTTCTTATTAAATATTTCCATTTATTATAGCGTCCGTTTTTGCCCTCGGAGGAGCCAAATGCTTTCGCTTCTTCTTCTGAAGTACTCCTCCTGTAATTAATCGTCTAATCAATATAGATTGTCCTCGTTTCGTTGAACAAATTGAATAACAGCCTCTCCGAAATGAAAAAATCTGATTAATGGCCGTGCTCCTCTCAGTGAGATGAAGATTTCTCACTGACACGCGCTTTCGTCTGCTTAAAGAATCACCACCGAGCTTAATTGATGGTCGGAGATCCTTTTGGTTTCTTCGTGGGCTCTGTGCCCTTTTTATGCCTCGGGCCAAGCTCGTGCGTACGAATTTAAAGAACGTTAACCCTCAGCGGTCGAAGACCGGGATATTAGCTGTGCCTTTGGCGAAACTTCAAATTTTCGAGGCTTTCGAGCATGGATAAACGAGTCGTGTTGCGTTCCAAATAAGATTCGCAGATTAATACCTTCTAGGACGCTTTAATACGTAATTTCAGTTGGTGTAATACGTCCGAGTACGTCAAATTATATTTTTTTTATTTAAGACAGGTCGAAATTGGGGCATTATTTGACGACTATAATTGATTCAGGAGGTGTGAAGTACATTAAGCTTCGTGAGAGGATTAGGATTGGGGTAAGATTGATCGACATATGGTTGGAGTGTACGAAAAGAGTCCATTGTATGAAAATTACTATTAGTGATGGGATTTCTTCTGAATTTATCAGGATTTTTGCCATGTTGTCTGCTTTACGAGAAATTAATAGTTATTGGAAATAAATATCTTCATCAGAGGCAAAATATATCAAGACCAAGTTCTAAAGAGATGGAATTAATATTCTAGTCAACTATAAAATTACATTCTTCGTTACTATCTGAAATATTCAATTCACAACATTGTCACTTGGACATCAAAACTCAGTTTTTTTCGCCCTGTTGCCTGAGAAATTTACGGTTTTTAAATATAAATATCTTTTTCAGAGACAAACTATACCAAGTCCCAGTTCTCAAGAGTTAAAATAAACATGCCACTCGAGGATAAAATTACATCTTCATTACTATTTGAAATATTATATTCACAAAATTGTCATTTGGACATTACAACACAAATTTCCCTTCTAACAGGGGATATATTATAATTCCTAGCCATGGAGAAGAAGAACACGTGTCTCTTCAGTAATCTCGAGAAAAGAATTGACCAGCCGCAGCATCCATTATGCAACAAAAGGACCATCGTCGAGAGTCACAACAGAGGCTGGTTCTTGTATTCCTTCTATTGCGGTGATCGTGACCTAATCTCGTTTGAAACTGAAGGGCGTATCCGCGTCGCGATCCGTGAGGGGGGCAGGGAGGTCGAGGAGAAGCATTAAGAACTCTACGTAGCGCACCGACGACCACCTGTACCGAAACAGGTTCAGCCATTTACGGCCATTTGCCCTCGGGCGAATTCTGACGTTCCATCGAGACAGCTTGGCGACGCTCGCCTCGTTCTTACGGGACGCGCGGATAACGCTGTCGAAATTTGTGTCCGTACGCGTCCACGAGACGTTTTTGGCCACCTCTGCTCTCGTACGAAATATTTTGAGCCCGTGTCAAGTCGTTCGAATCCTGTACCTCGTGTCTTATCGAGATTACGAACGATGAGCGTGTAAAATGGACATTGCCAGAGGTTCTTCGGCGTTCCATTGAAAGTTAGTTTTTGAATTTGATTTAGTAGAGTCGAGATTTCGTGCTTCCTGTTGCTTTTAAAAACTGGCTTGCAATGCGGATTGCCTCGAATTTAATGAAATTCGCAAGGTGAAGAGTCGAGGAAGATTAAATCTTACTGAAGTATGAGTCATGGGGGAATCGAATAGAAAATGGAGAACTTACGGACGTGAAACGTGTTTGTTGAGCTGCTGGAAAGCTTGTGTGACCACATTCGAGGAAGAATCTTTTGTATAATAGAATTTATCGAGTCGAGTGTATGCACAATTCATCCTTTTTATTCTGAAGCAGTAGGTATACTGATATTGACATGCTACAGATATTATTCAATCATTTATTTATATTTCAATACAGCTTCGAATATATTGACATTTTTCCCCCTGAATCTAGAATTTCTAGTCGCCATTAAGTCATAAACGTAGCATAAGTGCAAACGACTGCCAGACGATTTCAACGCCTGGCAGTATTGATGGTGATTTCAATGCCTGGCAATAGCGTCGTGTCCTATTGCCGGTGATTTCGATGCGTTGTAATAGTGTCACCACTGAAAGGTGTTAAAATTCACGCGTAAATTTTCATATTAATGCCGATGTGCAATTAGTTATAAACAGATTTCGTCGAAAATACTTCTCAGCCTACTCTTTGATCGTTTAAACATGACCACCGTCTGTTACACGATATCTGTAATTACTGGACGGAAACACGAGAGGCAATTTTCGTTGGGGAATAAACGCACTCGATAAAGCGATCATTCTGTTCATCGATGTCAAACGATTCCTGAAAATCAGTAAATCGACTCGATTAACGCGTAGCCTCTTTCATTCGTCGCTCGATCATTTCGAACGGTCCACGACCAACAGGAATTTTTATTACCGCAACCTTTGCTTGATCTCCGCCATTTAGGCTAATGGAAAGCAATTCTGGGAAAGTGCGCTTGACACAGGTGCAACGTCTGTCTGAAAAGTATCG